ATAACAGAAGAAAACTAAAAGGCAAATTTATATAGCAGGGAGATAGAAGATAAACAACCTGATTTAAGATGCAAATGGTGTTGAATTATTTATATCAGATTCTTGTCACAGAATTGTTCATTTAAAATTTGCTTACTAAGAGGATTGAATAAATGTAAGTACTTAGCTGAGGTAAACATTAGGTTAGGCTACTCAACAATCCCAGTAAGTACTGGAAGAAATAAAATAGCCTATCATACTTTAGTCAGATTGGAAAGGCTTCATGGACTAGGTAGAATTTTTTTAATTAGCAACTGTTCATTGTGTGAACAGAGAAAGGCATTCTAGTGATATGGCACTATTTTGGAAAAGATTCGAGGAAATAGGACAAATGAGTCAAGACAACTGTGTGGAGGCATGACACAGTTTTGGGGAGTCTGAATGTTAGATGGTGTCAAGAACATTAGAGTGATAGAATTAAGATGGGTTAGAAGGGACCAAAATAGGAATAGTCAGAAAATCCCCGGATGTGACTTGAATTTTCTATCCCTGGCCCAGTACACTTTTTTCTTTTTTATAGCAATAAAAGTCCTCATGTTCATTTCATTAAGGATCTTATAAATTTAGCTACAAAATAACTTGTTAGCTTAGTTATATTGGAAAAACATACTATATTAAAATACAACTACACAGCTATTGATAATGTCACTTATGTTTATTTAGCAGTCCAGTTAGGCATTTCCATATTTTTAAGGAAAATCATGTTTTACTTTTTAAAGGCTACCTACATGTATATTTATATTTATCATCTATGGCAATTTAAATGATACTGTTCCAGTTGGGAATCGTTACTCACCAGTATTTGGCTCTGTAATTTTCTTTATGTACATGAATTTCCCAAGCATGTTATATCAGTAAAGATATTTATTATTTATGTTTATTCCCACAAAGTGGGAATATATAGTAATTCACTTCATAAATTATAATCATTATTCTTAAGGTAAACTATGATCCTGTGCCCTTTCTTTTCTTTCATATATGTGCTGAGGAAAATTATTAATATCCAGTCCCTCTTTGGTATTAACTCAATTACCCCTTATAATAAAACTATGAGTTCTAAACCATTATTATTCCCATTTTCAGGTATAATAGGTCTTGAAAGGGCCTGGATTTGAACCTAGGTAAGCTGGAACAAGAATCTCTGCTTTGCCATTTTGTTATACAAATAATAAGGGAAAACTTTTACTTATATCCCAGATATGGCAGAAGAAAGTTACAACTGGATTTACAATTGGTCTATGATTTTTAACCTCAGAACAAGTAATAATAAATAAGTTCTACCACTTTCTTGATTTGGTAGAAATAATGAGCCTATAGAGAATAGTCATGGGAAACTCTTTTGTTGTCCATTGTCTCAGGACTTGAGGGACAAAGGCCAACTCTGAGGCTGGAATTTTTCAGATAACTGGAGATCTCTTTTTTCAAACAGAATTCTGAAAGCAGTAGGTAACACTGACTGTTGATTGATCATTACATTAGGTAGAGAATGAAAGAAATGCAAAATTTATCACCTCATCTCTTTTTCTGGGTATTCTAAAATTTCTGTCTCATTGCAATAAAATAAAGTGAGGTCGAGATGAAAGAAAGAAGGCATCTTCAAGTTTGGCAGATCCTAAAGTATTAACAGAAAGCAAGCATTCCAGAATTTTACTTCTAAATCCTGAAACACTGTAAGGCCCAACAGAAAGAGCAATGATCAGATGCCTCTCCCTCTGGCTGTGTGACCTTTGGGCAATTCAACCAGCAGTAAAAAATATAGCAGAGCTTTTGGTCTAGGTCATTCTCCCTACTCCTACACATCTGACAAAAATTCATAGTGACAAAGCATAGAGATAGCAATTTTTGACATAATCCCCAAAGACCACATCATTTGGTTAATTTAATTTGACCTTCATCACAGACAAAAACTGTTGCTACTAGTCAGAATAATATTGAGACTTAAAAGGGGGGATGAAGGCCATACAATGAATATGTACTCAGCTAAGATAAGGGCATTGGGTTAGACAGAAGACACAACCTAAGTGAAAGCTATTTTTTTAATATGTCTGGAAGGTGAGAAAGAGATGTTTAAATTGGATGCAGGCAGCCATGAAGAGCCAAGAGAATGACAGGCAGAGGAAGGTCAGGGCAGCTGTACTTGTAAAGGATTATGCTACTTTCTTTGGAGAATTTCAAAGGACTTCAGTGAAATATGACACTGTCTCTGGAGCATGTCTCCCTATGTTTTTAAGTTTTGGGGATACAGAGAAAGGTTCTTTGTCCTTAAAAGTAACTAATGTGTAAGATTTTCTCAAGAGAGTCTCAGATCTTCAACCTATAGTTTAAAAGCATGTTTGCAATACAAATACTCCTTAAAAATGAAACCTCATGCTGTAGAATCACATTAAGACATACATGAGTATTGCTGGATTTTTTTAAGGAAAGCTGATCTGATGGAGGTGAGAGGATCATGGCAACAGAATATTACAGGCCCTAGAAGAGAAGGAAGACACTTTTGACCACTTGCTGAGGGCTGAGTGCCACTACATGGGGCAGCATTATTATACCTTTTAGCTGGTAAAATGGCTTATAAAGGATGAATTGACAATTGTCAAACAACAGGTAAATAGTAGAGTTGGGATCACTGTTATGTCTGACACCAGTGTCCATGTTCTTAACCACACCACAAGTTTTGAGGTTTGAGCTTTACTCACTTGGTGACATTTCTTCCTTCTATTTCCATTCCATACCCCCAAATGTATCTCTTAATTTCTTTGAAGTGAGGAGCATCACCATGCATAATAAGATCACACTGCTCACAAATAAAGCTCACATAAAGGGAAAGCAGCATTGGGGAATGCTAAAGGAAAGATGGGTCACAATCTTTACAAGTCCAGCCAGACCACTGACATGCCACCATCAATTAGAATGCAGCATTTTTATTGTAAAAGTCCACATATTAGGTAAATCCCTTTGTGAAAAGGTTTTTTAAATACATAGATGGGGAGCAGCTAATAATTAAGAATTAGATTACATATAATATATATTCATATTGCCAGTACTATGCACACATTGGAAAGCTAGCTTTTTGAGTGTCCCCATTACAAAATACATTTCAAGTTGACAATAATGTGTTTCTTACCATTGAAAATTTGCCAACAACTCTCCCAGAGTCAACATTAAATATGTTAACAATTCAAAACATGAAAATAATTCTATTTACATGTGTTTGAGTTTATATACTAGAGCACTGGTATATTAAAGGTTTGTAAAAGTGGCAGCTAAATGTGTTTCAAGATTCATCCAGATAACTCAATGAGGACCTTACATAGTTTTATAACAAAGCCACTCTTTCTTTTCTACTCTTTTTAGATTATCAAGTTAATACTGGCTATGATGGAATTCTAACTTAGAAAAATGATTGCTATAAAGAAGAACTGACAACGGGTGCTATTTTAGAAAAATAGGGACTCAGGATGAGTACATGAAGGTGGAGCTCAACTCATCATGTCTGAAGTCTGGGACAACCACTTCATGTGATTATCACATACTTGAATGAAGCCACAGTCATAGGTTCAACCTCCATGTAAGTCATTCATTTGTTCTTTCAATTTTTAAAAATTAATCTTCAGTACTTTTTCTTTATCTTTTCTTTTCTTTTCTTTTCTTTTTTTTTTTTTTTTTTACCAGAGCATAGAATACAACATTCTAAACACCAGTCAGGTATGAATCCTGTCCTTGCCTGTCATGTCTTCAAGTGGAATTGTGGCTGGGTCAAAGCTAACTCATCCCCAAACCTGGGAAAAAATATACAAACTCTAATTATGCCCTAGTAGGCCCATTTCTGTGCATAAACATAGGGCTTAAGTATTGTTTTAAAAGAAGTATGGACTTTGGCTATTTTTGTTCATTATCAAAAATTTATTTTAGGCAAAGGTCTTTGGATCCTTCTGTTAATTTTCACAAGACCAAATAACATTTGACAATACTGATGTGAAAAGATGAATCACTGGTTGCAGCTGGCTCAAAGAGATTCACAGAAGCATATGCAGCCAGTTCACTTCAAAACATATCTGTTGAGCACCAACTATGTGCCAGGCACTATATAAGGTGCTGAGGACCCAAAGAGGAAATTACAAGGATTCTGCCCACAAGGCACTCACAATCACTAGAAGCAGATCTTGAGATGGAGAATAAATTCTGTTATAATCTATCGTCCTAAAGGAAGATAAAATAGCTGCAAGCACATATAATTACTTTATACTCTATGAAATTGGGCATATTTAGAAGTGGCAAATGTCAATTATTCAGTCTGTATTTTACTTAAAGTGTTTTAATATGTCCTACGTGGAAAAAAAATAAGCTGTTTGAATCTTCATGCGTGAGGGAGATGGTAGAGAAAATTCCTCCCTCCAATTCCAAACCCAAACCCTTATAATTACATTCATGATTCTTTTACAGCCCAAAGACACAGAATAAAAGACAATGCTTTATGATGTTAACTTCATTCCATTTATTTTGGCTCTAAAGAGATGCATGCATTAAACTTGAAGCATTCTACGTTACTGAAATATTTACATCATTGTACATGTGATGTGGAGGAAATTTTCTTCCTATCTTGGGATAGAGGTGTAATAGATTTCTAGTCTAGGCTCTTATATTTAAAGTGACTTGTGATTTTTCTCAAATGAGGGAGATATCCTACTGGGACCAAATTTATTACAACCTGCCCCCAAATGAACATAGGGTACAGTTTTGGACCTTTTGCATCTAATTGTATTTTGAATTGATTAAGGACACCACCACTATAAGTAGTCACAGCTTCCACTATTTCAATCATTGTAGCTGAAAAAGATCTTGTTTGGTTTCAGTGTTCTTGCTCTAATTTCACTTTGCCTTGCAGGTTTGAAACACAGCAAACATTAAAGTTCAAATTACACTTACCACAGGAGAGTTGGGCAAACAATAGGACATTAATACAATTTAGCAGGTTAGAACTTAGAAACAAACAAATTCAAAATTATCATAAACCACACAGGGGATTATTTAAGTGGACTTAGAAAGGACATCTTCTCTCCATGAGATTTAGTGAATAAGACCCACATCAATAAAACCCATACCTCTTTCACAGGTAAAGGTAGGAAACCCAATAAACCAGATTGAACAAGCAGAATGCAGTGGGGAAGAAGATCCGTGCATATGAGTCCATTTTGGCAATACGAATATGTATCCTTCCATGTCTCCAAGCTCCTGTTCGACAGTCTTCAAAACAGCAGAAGAAACTGGCACAGTCCTTGCCATCCAGACACTCATACCCATATTCTTCATCTCTCTCTTGAAGGTGAGTGGCATTGTTCATTTGAATGGTTGCTGATCTTGGGCGAATATCAATGGTAGGGGCCTGAGACAAGGGTAGGGAAGAAGAGTTAGTTATACTTCATAAATCCTAGACTAGGTCTCCACAATGTCACCAAGGTGAATGATGAATCTGAAAATGAGTACTCAGGAATTGCTATGAAATCGTGATCTACAATGGTAAAATTGAACTTAGAAGGATAGCACATTTGCAGATTTCAAATTTTGAGCTTAAGCAGTGCAGCTGAAAATAATACCATCAAGCTAATAGCTATAGCAAGAAGATTGAACACCAAAAGAACTCAAAGTTTAAAGATTTAAATCAAACAACTACATGGAATTTTATTCTAGTAAATATTAGATGTGAGGTTGGTTACATGAAGGCATTTAATGGTGTTGCATGTGAGTAGAACAGAGAAATAAAATGCATCAATTTTGAACTCAAATTTTTTGTCATGCTTACCTATAGGCAAATAGTAAACCCCATTACACTGAGCAAATGTACTAAACACTATTAAAAAGAAAATGTTAATATATATATAAATATAAGAGTTTTCTGAGTTTATACCACAAATGGTATGGCTTATGTTTTAAAGAAATATAGTGTTTCGTCTACCATTCAGCATCTAGAAGCTTCAGAATGTTGGCAATGTTTACCTAATGTGTGTGAAAATTCAGAAAAAAAACGCTACCACCTTTCGGCAATGTTTATCTAATGTGAGTGAAAATTCAGGAAAAAAATGCTACCGCCTTTTTACTATTTGAGAAGAAACTAATACCAATTAATTGAATAATTTAATCTTTGCTGCCCTATTAATTATGAAAGTACTATAAATCACAATGATTAATTTAATTTGGAGGAGTTAATTTTAGGATATTATAAATATGAACCCTAGTGTCTCTGAGTAAGTTATCAGAAAACATTGCATTATTGCATGATAGAGCCAAAAGGCCCCTGGATTATCCTAAATGGAAGGGATGGGTGTTTTAACTTAAAGCATTTCAAAGATAAGAATTGATAGGTTCAAAATTCTGAACGGAGATTATAAAAAGTTACTTATCAAAAAGCAATCCCGTTTTGAATTAGGATTTACCGAGTTACATTTTAAGAGCATTTATAGTATATATGGTAGATGCAGTCAATGAATTTTATCTGAGAAGGGAGGGTAAGGTTTGACTTTGATGTTTAAAGAAACCCTCTTTTCTAATGATATGTCCTAGAACTTATAGCTTTATAGGGTCAAACCTCTGCGAATTAGTGTAGGGTTGATGACTCAACTCTAGAAATCTGTAGAACTTTCTTCATCTCAAAGGTCTTACCTCTCGTAGAATGCTTAAATAACTACTCACTAAAAAAACAACAAAAAAAATCGAAACACCATGTAAGCGTTAATAATTAAATTCAGCAGTTGCATGCAGTGAATTTTCATTCCAAAAACATTATACCTTGAAGGAAAACATCCGAAGAAGCTTTGGGTTTGTAGACAGAAAAGAGAATTGCATTTTTTTTTTAATTAAAAGAAGAAAAAAAAAGAAAAAGACAAAATAAGAGAAATTAAAAATACATTTTAAAAACATAGTAAAATGAACTGAAATTATAAACACAGAAGGACAATTCTGGGCTTGAAATAAAGTATATGCCTAAATTTGGAAAAGGGAATTTGGGGATTTCAATAAATTAATCCACAATTATCTAACTGCAAAAGCCAGTGTTATGAGGAAGCTTTCCACTGCCTGGTTTCCCTGTATAAAAGTACTGTGATTTTATTTTCTAATTAACATCAAGGAGGCCTTACTAGGTAAGTCTTAACACAATGAACCAAAGGGCGTATTTAATGGAAAAATGAAATTTCAGCTTCTCATTCACAGCTTAGGCTTTTTCCAGTTGTGATAAATCATCTAATTGGCTTACAAGAGGGAAATCCATAAAATTTTCAGGTAATTTGATTTTTTCAGTTTCTTTAATCCCCTCTGCAATGATACAGCTGTTAGAAAGGGCATAAGAGCTTTTTTTGAAGGACTCTTGTTTAAAAGTTCACCCTCACATCCTTGTTAATGCTGGCATGTAGTAGTGCTGAGTGTCATAGAACCCTCTTCTTTCTTGGGGAAAAATGTAATGGAAAGTGAAGGATGGGGAGAAATAATAATTAAAAAAACAGTAAGGAAAATAAAATAAGGATAGAAAAAATGCAAAGATAGGCAAACAGGAAAGGAAAGGACTGCATAAAGCATAGTGGATATTTGGAAAATTAAGAATTAGCATTTCTTTTTGTATTAATCATCAAGAATAATGATTTTTTTTTCTTTACCTGTTACAGATTCTTACATTCAGATAAATATATGCCATTTGTAGAAGTTGACTAGCGTTCCTGGAGATCCATCAGGATTCAACCTAGAATCAGCTGTATTTCCTCATTAAAATGTAGCTCCCCCAAAGTTGGTGGGTCAGAGAGCTAGCCAATATCAAGGCCCTCGTGGCCTTTATGACAGACCAGGAAAGTATGAATTCAGGAAGCTAGGGTGACTTCCTTTGCCCCTGTCTTAGAAGGGAATGGACCTTAACTTCAATGGGGCTTCCTAGAAGCCAGACAGCCACTATACTCAGGTGCATAAATGAGTAGCTACTTGCTCTCTTCAACATCCATACTAAAGGATAATTATATTAGGCTTGTATATTTGTGCCTTATCATCTCTATTTAAAGTTTGGTGGCAAGGTGAAGTCATCCTACCTTTTTCCAAATCATTGAAATCAATCCAGGTTCTTAACTGTATAAATCATCAACATCAACCATCATCATCAACTATTAATGGTAAGGACTTTCATGTGTAAGGCACCATGTAATGCTTTTTACCTTCATTACCACAGCAGCCCTTTAAGTTACGTATTACTCATTTTATATATGAGAAAACAAAGACACAGGGAGGCTAAGTAACTTGCCTAAACAATAGATGATCCATTTCATTTAAAAACAAAATGATACATTTTAAGTATAAAACCAATCGTAGTCTTCTGGTGGTAAAACACACACAATTACTTGCAAAAATGTGGTAAACTTTGAAACTTCAAGAACTTTCAGGCTTCCTAATGGAAAGCCTTGAATGAAAATGTTAATTTAAAACATCAATAATTTAAGAATGTTATAGTAGGGAGCAGAAAGATGACAATCAATGAAACCTAGAATAACAGCAACTAGAAAATAAATGCATGTCTCAGAAACGTTTATAATCCCTATGAAATGAAGAGAATAAGAGTCTGCCTTAGTGAATCAGGTCTCTCCCAAGTAAAAATTCTTATGGCCTGGTCAAAATCATACATTCTCTTTTCGTTTTGGAGCCCAAAGTGTTGAGGCTTAGCCTGCAGACAGGCTAAGACCAAGCCAAAACAAAATCAGGTGGCCTTCTACATAAAAATTTCAGTGATCCCAATGGGAAATGATACATACAGGGTTTTTCTTCTTTTTGTCTTTATCCTTGCTTGGTTTCCGGTTGCTGACAAAATAATGCAAGGTGCCATATTCCACCAAAGCAGAGAAGACAAAGATGAAGCAAACAGATACAAAGAGATCCATTGCTGTAACATAGGAGACCTTGGGGAGTGACTTCCGGGCAATGGTGCTGAGGGTGGTCATTGTCAGGACAGTGGTGATACCTGAAGAAAGGTACAGTAAAACAGATCATGTGACCTCATCAGCAAGTTGGGTAATTGAGTCACTACTGAGACCAAATTTGTTTTGTGACTTCTGATAAGCAACCTCAGTAATGGGGAAGGAAGCATAACTGTAACCCATTCACTCTGCCCACAAATATTTATTGCCTGCTTACCAAGTATCAGTTACTATGACAAACACTGAGTATATGCTGAAAACTAAGACATGTTCCCTGACCTTATGTGCCTTATATTTTAGTGACAGAGAACACTATAAATCAAGGGGGCAAAGGAAAGTATAAATACAAATTATGGTTTATGTGATGGAGAACAGCAGGGATGGTGAAAACCTAATTAGATGGAATACTGAGGAAAGACATCTTTGAGGTGGTGATATTTAAGGAGAAGTTTAAAAAGTTAGAGGACACCAACTTCTGACTAATTGCAGAGTAAATAAAGAAAGATACTGAGGAAGGGACACATTATCTTTTTTAAAAAAATTAGAATACCTAGCACCTGGGGAGAGGCAAGGGTATCAAAGTGATGCTGAGATAACAGAAGTTATATCATGCAGAGCATGCAAAGGAGTTTACACTTTATTTAAAGTACAAGGAGAATCCATTAAGGGTATCAAATAGAGGAAATGAGCTATGTGACATGTTCTGATTAATGAATTTTTTAAAAACTATTATAGAGAGAGAAGATGGTGTGGTAGAAGGATCCTGAGCTCACCATCCCCATGGATATACCAAGGTGTAACAACTACATATATTGCAACTCATTCTGAAAATGACCTGAAGATTGGCAGAACATATTCTATAACAGCTAAAGTCATAAAAAGAAAGCCACATCAAGAAGGGAGAAGGGTAGGAGGGAAGAGGTATGGTTAGGAACCAAACTACTGTTGTGACTACCCAGAAGTGGGAGGGATAGGACAAGCATGGAGGAACAAGGGGATGAGCACCCCCAACCCTGGGTGCCTGCACTGAGATGAGCCCCCATAATGTCTGGCTTTAAAAATCAGCGGGGCTTAACTCCAGGAGAGAAGGTCAGAGGAAACCAAGTCTCCACTTTTAATTAAAGAGCCAGCATGCTATATTACTCACCATGTATTCCAGCACAGAAGAACCAGTTTGGTAAGTGCCTGGGTTATAAGAAGGAGATTTATTGACCGATTTTTGAACAGGTGTCAGAGGGGCAAGAATCTGCAGAAGCTTTCTCCAGGAACGGAAGTGCTGATGGGCACCATTTTTCTTACCCTACTTCAGCCTGGATGGCTATATGCTTGCAAAAGCCAGTTCTGAAACTCTACTTGCTAGCAGCACTTGCCCCACCCCATCATTCCTCAACAGATCCATCTTTCTTACATAATCCACCCTCTCCAGCCCCCTCCAAAGTGACTCCTGTCCTGCCATAACTGGCCAGGTAACCTCAGTTAGGAACAGCAGCCCCTCAAAGAGACTACTGCCCCACAACACCTGGCAGGCGGCCCTTGCCAGAATCACTGTCCCTCCAAAGCAAACCCTGCCCTAGGGACTGGGGACCTAGCCCCACACACCAGCATGCCCATAGTAGCTGTAACCAGGCCTCTCAGCTCACTGTACTAGGGGCAGACCCTACCCACCACTGTGCCCACAGCAGTCACTGCCACAACAGGACAGTGCACACAGACTACACAAGGGACATCCCTGGAGCACCTGGTTCTGGTGACCAGGAGGGCATTGTACAACAGGGCACCACAGGATGCCTTCAACATAAGGCCACTACTTTCAAGATCAGGAGATGTAGCTGACCTACCTGATAAATAAAAACAGAGAGACAAAATGAGGAGACATAGGAGTATGTTCCAACAAACAAACAAACAAAAAAAACAAGACAAAACCACAGAGAAAGAACTAAACAAAATGGAAATAAGCAAGCTACCTGACAAAGAGTTGAAAGTAATGGTCACAGAGATACTCACAGAACTTGAGAGGTGAGTGAATGAACTCAGAAGAAACAGAAAAAATTAAATAAAGAACCAGTCAGAACCAAAAATATAAAAACTAAAAAATACACTAGAGGGAATAAACAGAAGATTAGAGGATGCAGAAGAATGGATGAGTGAGCTGGAAGACAGGGTAACGGAAAGCACCCATACTGAATGGCAGAAAGAAAAAAGAATTTTAAAAAATGAGAATAGGTTAAGGGATCTCTGAGACCACATCAGTATAGGAGATGAGAGAAAGAAGAGGGCAAAAACTTACATGAAGAAATGATAGTTAAAAACATCCCTAATCTGGAAAAGAAAACAGACATCCAGGTCAGAAAGCCCCTAACAAGTTAAACCCGAGGAGGTCCACACTAAGATTTAAAGATAAATAAACAATCTTAAAAGCAGCAGGAGAGGGACTAACAATTACATAAAAGGAAAAGCCCTCTAGGGCTATCAGCTGATTTTTTTTTTTTTTTTTTTTTTTTTTTTTTTTTTTTTTACAGCAGAGACTTTGCAGGCCAGAAGGGAGTTGTAAGATATTCAAAGTGCTAAAAGGAAAGAACCTACAAGCAAAAATGCTCCACCTGTCAAGGCTATCATTCAGAATTGAAAGAGAGAGAAAAAGTTTCCCAGACAAACAAAAGTTACAGGAGTTCATCACCACTTAACTGGCCTTACAAGAAATGTGAAAGGGACTTCAAGTGGAAAATAAAAGGTCATAACTAGAAATAAGAAAATTATGGCAGGAAAAAATCTCAATGGTAAAAGCAAACATACATTAATGGTAGCAAATTAATCACTTATTTAGCTAGTATGAAGGCTAAAATGCAAAATTAGTATAATTGATTATAGCTACAAAAATAGTCAAGAATACATAAAATAAAAAGATTAAAATATGGCATCATATACATAAACATGGAGAGTAAAAATTTAGTGCTTTTAGAATATGTTTGAACTTAAGCAACCACCAACTTAATATAGGTGGCTATATACTTAGGATATTATATATGAACCACATGATAACCACAAACCAAAAAATTATAATACATACCCCCCCAAAATAAAGTGAGAGTAATTGAAGTATAACACTAAAGAGAGTCCTCAAACTAAAAGGGAAGAGAGCAAAAGAATATAGGAAGAAAAAAGAACTATAAAACAACCAGAAAACAATTTTTAAAATGGCACTAAATACATATCTATTGATAATTACCTTATAAATGGACTAAATGCTTCAATCAATAGACATAGAGTGAATAGATTAAAAAGAAACACAAGACCCATCTATATGCTGCCCTGCAAGAGAATACTTCAGACCTAAAGACACATACAGACTGAAAGTAAAGGGATGGAAAAATATATTCCACGCAAATGAAAGTGAGAAAAAAAGCTGGATAGCAATACTTAGACAAAATAGACTTTTCTTTTTAAGATTTTATTTATTTATTTGAGAGAGAGAGAGAGAGAATGAGAGATAGAGAGCACGAGAGGGAAGAGGGTCGGAGGGAGAAGCAGATTCCCTGCTGAGCAGGGAGCCCGATGTGGACTTGATCCCGGGACTCCAGGATCATGACCTGAGCCGAAGGCAGTCGCTTAACCAACTGAGCCACTCAGGCGCCCAACAAAATAGACTTTAAAGCAAAGGCTGTAACAAGACACAAAAATAATGATAAAAAAAACCAATGCAATAAGAAGACGTAACATTTGTAAATATCTCCACACCCAACATAGGAGCACCTAAACATATAAAGCAAATATTAACGGATAAAAAGGGAGAAATTTGTCAGTAATCCAATAATAGTAGGCAATTTTAACAGCCCATTTACACCAATGGATAGAATATCCAGACAGAAAATCAGTGGAGAAACAGTGGCTTCAAGTAACATATTAGACCAGATGGATTTCACAGATCTATACAGAAAATTCAATTTAAAACTAGCAGAATACACATCCTTCTTCAAGGGAACATGGAACATTCTCTAGGATAGAGCCCATGTTAGGCCACCAAACAAGTCTCAATAAATTTAACAAGACTGAAATCATCATTTCCAACCACAACAGTATGAAACTAGGAATCAGATACAAGAAAAAAATTGGAAGAAACACAAAGATATGGAGTCTAAAATGCATACTACTAAAGAACAAATGGGTCAAAGAAGAAATCAAAGAAGAAATAAAAAAATATGTGGTGGGATGCTTGGGTGGCTCTGTTGTTTAAGTGTCTGCCTTCAGCTTAGCTCGTGGTCCTGGGATTGAGCCCTGTGTTTTTTTTTGGGGGGGGGGTCCCTGCTCAATGGGAAGTCTGCTTCTCCCTCTCCCCTGCCCCACCACTCATTCTCTCTCTCTCAAATAAATAAATAAAATCTTTAAAAAATATGTGGAGACAAATGAAAATGGCTATACTATAGTTCCAGAATCTTTGGGATACAGGAAGTTTACAGCAATACAGGTCCACCTCAAGAAACAAAAGAATATCTCAAACCTAACAATCTGAAATCTAACCTTACACCTCAAGGAACTAGAAAAAGAAGAACAAAGCCTAAGGTTAGGAGGAGGAAGGAATAATAAAGATCAGTTTGGAAATAAATGAAATAGAAACTAAAAAAGAAAAGATGACACTAAAAACTTGTTCTTTTAAAAGATAAAATTGATAATTCTTTAGATTTATCAATTATCAAAAATTAATCAAGAAAAAAATAAAGGACTCAAAATCAGAAATGAAAGAAGTTATAAGTGACAAGACAGAACTATAAAAAATAACAATATAGGGGCACCTGGGTGACTCAGTCATTAAGCATCTGCCTTCGGCTCAGGTCATGATCCCAGGGTCCTGGGATGGAGCCCTGCATCAGGCTCCCTGCTCTGCAGGAAGCCTGCTTCTCCCTCTCCCACTCCCCCTGCTTCTCCCTGTCTCTCTCTGTCAAATAAATAAAATCTTTAAAAAAAATAATATAAAAAATTTTATGCCAACAAATTGGACAACCTAGAAGAAATGGATAAATTCATAAAACTATGCAATCATCTAAGACTG